TGCCTCAGCCTCCTGAGTAGCTGGGATTACAGGCATGCGCCACCATGCCCAGCTGATTTTTTGTATTTTTAGTAGAGACGGGGTTTCACCATGTTGACCAGGTCTCAATCTCTTGACCTCGTGATCCACCCGCCTCGGCCTCCCAAAGTGCTGGGATTACAGGCTTGAGCCACCGCGCCCGGCAAGTGCATACTTTGTAAAAGCAATGGGGACTGGGCAGTGGCTCACACGTGTAGTTGCAACACTTTGGGAGGACAGGGTGGGAGGATCACTTTTAAGGAGTTTGAGACCGTCCTGGATAATATAGGGAGAGCCAGTTTCTTTAAAAAAAAATTAAAAACTTAGCCAGGCATGATGGTACATGCCTGTGATTCTAGCTACGCAGGAGGCTGAGGAGGGAGGATAATTTAAGCACAAGAGGTAGAGGCTGCAGTGAACTTTCATCCTGCCATTGTACTCCACCCAGTCAACAGAGTGAGACCCTGTCTCCCCCCCAAAAAAAAAGAAAAAGAAAAAACCATGGAAGCAAGCAAAAACTAAAAATAAAAAATCCTAACATAGTTACTGCGGGTTGTGGGAATATGGATGGCTTTCTTCTTTTCCCTCTGTTATCTCTGTTTTTGAGACAGTCTCACTCCATCACCCAGGCTGGAGTGTAGTGGCACGATCTCAGCTCACTGCAACCTCCCCCTCCTTTGTCAAGCAATTCTTCTATCTCAGCCTCCCAAGTAGCTGGGACTACAGGCGCCTGACACCATTCGCTACTAATTGTTATATTTTTAGTAGAGACGGGGTTTCACCATGTTGGCCAGGGTGGTCATGAACTCCTGACCTCAGGTAATCCACCCACCTTGGCCTCCCAAAGTGCTGAAATTACAGGCGTGAGCCACCACACCTGGCCATTTTTTTTTTTACTTTTTAGAGGCAAGGTCTCACTATGATGTCCAGGCTAGAGTACAGTGGCTATTCAAAGGCACTATCATAGCACACTGCAGCACTGCTCGAGCAATCCTCCCACTTCAGCCTCATGAGTAGCTGGGACCACAGGTGAACACCACCACACTCGGCTTTTTTTTTTTTTTCTTGCTTGTTTTTTTAGTTTAACCAGCCACATACAAAAAGGTATCTTTTTTAAATACACCCTAATTAAAAGGAGGGTAAGAGGTATAATTTAGTGGTTTTATAAGTAAACAGAATATTTTGTTATTTGATTATTAAACAGAATATTTTGTAAAAGGCAAAAATTGTGCTATTTCTTGTGTCCTTTAAGAGTTAATAAGCAATTAATGTTTATTAAGACTGAGGTATGTCAGACACGGTGGCTGATGCCTGTAATCCCAGCACTTTGGGAGGCCGAGGCAGGTGGGTCACCTGGGTTCAAGCGATCCTCCTGCCTCAGTGTCCCAAAGTGTTGAGATTATGGGTATGAGCCACCACATCCAACCTCCATACATTTCTCAATTATTGTTTTTAAAATAGATTACCTTATCCTGCAGTTAATTAGTATGATTGCAGTATGTATACCTTTAGCATCTCAGTAGTTACTGTGTGCTTACCAGTTGAAATAGAAGTACAGGATTTTTTTTAAACAACTCTGGGGGGGTATTTACTTAGATTTTATTATAGTTACGCCATACATATGGTCAGTTGGAACAAAAAAAAAGAGCTGTACTTTGTTGGGGTAACAATAGCTGCATTTCATGTTTTGAAGTTCCTTTGATATAAGTAGATATTTTTACAAAATAATAGTATTTGTCATCTTAATTTCCTGCGCCTCCTATGAAAAGAAGAATATTCTATTGAAATCAGTTAAATGTTGATAACCCACAAGTTGATTTTCTTATTTTTTAGGTCTCTATGAATCATAGAAATAAAAGCAAATGGAATCTTATCAGATAAGTGCTTTTACAAGTCTATAAATATATTTTATTCTTTGGAATCTCTAAAGCAAAACTTTTCTTTAAAACTTTTTTTTTTTTT